CACTGGGAGGTGAACTTGTACTTAAAGTCCAGTTGGAGCCAGTGTGTGTGTGCCCTCATGCATATGTATGCACGTGTGTGTGTGTGTGTGCATGTGTGTGTGTGTGTGTGTGTGTGCGCGCACTAGCAAAAGGATGCTGCTATTGCATCCCAGGGCTCTGCCCTCACCCCGCTGAGAGAGCCGGGGCCCCAGCCTGCAGGGGTGCTGGCAGCAGTGTCACTGTGTGCCTGTGCAGGAGGCGGGCAGGCGGGCGGCTCGGCAGAGTGTCAGTGTGTCTCAGCCTGTGTGGGGGCGGTTGTGTGGGGGCGGAGGGCTGCCGCATGCACCAGAACATGTGCGTGCCTGCCGCTCTGATGGCTTGCAGGGGGAGGGAGAAAGGCTGTACCCTCCCTGTCCCTGCCACCCCCTCCTGAGGACCTGCGCCCCAACTTTCCATCCTTGGCCTCTGGCCCCTGCACATCATCGGGCCCCCTCCCCTGGCTTGGCACTGCCTCTCCCTGTGGCCTTGGGCAAACCATTTCATTTCTCTGTGGGTACTGACTTCACCATCTGTGCTATGAGTAGAGACGTGCCCATGGTCCTTTCAGTCCTGAGGTTCTGGGAGCGTGTGCCTCCCACAGAGGGAGCCTAACGAGGACAGCAACTCTAATGGGGGCGTTTTAGCATCTGCAAAGTTATTCCGATCCCATTATACAGATGGCAAAGTTGAGGGACACCGAGGACAAGGGATCCAACCAGGGTGGCCCCGTAAATGAGAGGCAGAATCGTGATTGGAAAACAAGCCACAGCTCAGAGTCCCCTCGCCCACCAGGCCACCGCCCCTCTTCCTAGTAGTGTTCCCCAGACACAGCACCAGGAGGGGACCCTCTCATCAACCTTCCCCCACATGCAGGTGCCGGAGACCCACATGCAAGTCTAAGCCCTGTCCCCAGCCCCCCGAGCCAGTCATCCCACCTGCTCAAGCGTCAGTCTGCTCATCTGTGAGATGGATAAGTAAGCCCCCGGCCTCCCGCCCAGATGAGCTCATCGGGGGAGAACAGCCCCGCCGGCCCCACAGTGCTGTGAATGTAATAGGTTATTAGAAGCAAAATAAACGCACAACACCCATCTCGGGGCGGTGCGTCCATGCCCAGGTGCCCTCTCTCCCCAGTGTTACATCATCCAGCCTCCTAACAGCTCGGGAAGGACCAGAGAGCTGCACACATTGGGCAGACATTAGAGTGTGGGTCCCCAGAGGGGCACCCAGGACCCTGGACACCCAAGTGCAGGGAGCTGCCTCTGGACCCCAGTGTGGACCCCTGATCAGCCCAGCCCACGGCCGGTTCACCACACAAAGCAGAGGGGGCAGCAGTTCCAGAGCCAGCTCTCTGCCCGCCCTCTGCCAACCTCGCTGGCCCTTGAAAGCCCTCCCCCAGCCCCACACGCCCTTGAGACAGTTTCAGATCCATCCCTGTGTCTCGGGAGAAAAGAGTGGGCTGCACCCGCTCTCCGGTCTCCCTCCCTCTCCCTCTCTCAAGCACTGTCTCCTTCTGAGGCTCCTTCTTATGCCTGGTGATTACACAGGCTGCAGGGCAGTGCTCGGCTCCCTAACCTCCCCTGGCAGTGGGAGCCAAAGCCCAGAGAATGTCAGAGGCTGAAGAAGGCACCCCCTTCTCCACCTGCTGGAAATAACCCCTTCCCCTGATCCCAGTCTCCGGAGAACGGAGAACGCCTGTCTGGTCTTCCGGGAGCAATGGCCCGACTGCCCAGGCCCACCCTGACCCTGAGCTGGTGTCGCTGCAGCCTGCCTCCCAGTGAGCTTCTGTGCTCCTGAGGTCTGGCTTTCATTTCTCTCATTCCCTGGGAGGGAGGAGGATTGGGGTCGAGGGAGGGGAGAGTGAGTGAGGCTCTGGGTCCAAGAGACAGCCCCACCTCACCCCTCTCAAGGACCTGGAATCAATTCCTGGCTTATCTGACTCACATCTGCAGTGGGACCTTCCTCCAGTGGCATCGAGAGGCCCTTAGAAGCCCCTGCCCAGGGCACTGACTCCAGCCCACACCCCCAGCTGGCTGCCCACCTGGAGGGAGACGGGCAGCTTCGGTTCCACCCACAGCCAGCCCTACCCCTGGGCTCCTTGAAGGAAGGCCTGCAGTCACGAGCCAGACCTCATCGGGCAGGACACCAGGAAGCCCTCGAGAGGCACGTGCCCTCCTCTCCAGCTGGGCAGCCCAGGGCCCTGCCGAAGGAGGTCTAAAGGCTCCCATGTCCCCTTGTAGGGCCCACCCAGCTGTCTCTGCCAGTCACCCTGCCAGTGATCTGAAGTGGGCTCCTGGAACAGGGGCTCAGCTTTGGGTGGTGACTGCAGTGTCCCGGCTGGCAGGGACCTTGAGTCACCAAACTGAAGGATGGGCCCTACACGCATGTTTGGTGCGCCAGTCCCCAGAAGCAGTGCTGTCTGGAAGGCCCACTGTGTGCCGGGCTTGTCACTACGTCTTCACGTGCGCCATCTCATCTCATCCTCACAGCCCTTTTTTATCTCCAGATTATGGGGGGGGGGAGTGCCATAGCCTGTCCAACGTCACTGAGCTGTGGGTGGTGAGGTCCAGAGCCTATACCCTGTGCTGGGCACTGTTCCTACTGGCCTCTTGGGCTGAAGCTGTCATGCAGAGCAGAAGACCCCCTCCCCGTGGTCCCCTGGCCTTTTTCAGCTAGGATCAGAGGTGTGGGTCCTCATCCCCTCTTTTCCAATGCAAGCATCCTTAACCTGAGGCCCAGCCGCAGCCTTCCTGAGGTCCTGCAAGCTCCTGACATTGCATGCAACACATCTTAGTTTTGCGAATTTTCCTGAGGAATGTAGACTTAGCCTTTCGTCAGATTCCTGGAGGAATATGTGACCTAGAAAAGGTTAAGAGCACTGATGATTCTGGAAGGAAGAGATCTGAAATGGATTAGACAAGGCCTGGCCACGCCTGCCACCCTCGGCGTTCCTGCCATGGACACACCAGGGCTCCCTGTCTCCTGAAGCGCTGATATGGCCCAGGTCCCTCCAAGCACCCTGGCAGGCAACGGGGCTGAGAAGGCTCTCTGCCAAGTCGCCCCCACAGCACCCAGTCTTCATGAGCTCCATCTCCTCGTGGGGCAAAACATCACTTTTATTGTCATTTTGAGCACCTGAGTCACATTTTAACTCCATTTCACTGCGCTCTGTGACGCAGTCCTGCCAGCGTACCCTGAAAGGCAGCTCCCAGCTAATCAGGGAATCCTGCCTTCCAGTGGGCCCTGGAAACCAGCTGAGAAGGGGGTCCCCACACAAGCTGGGCAGACAGCCTCAGTCCTCCGGGGCAGCCCTAAACATTTTGTTCCTGCTGCCTCCCCAGCACAAAAACACACTCAGAAAGACAGGTAGTCTGCAGACAAGAGTGCGCACACGTCTGCACAGGGGCGTCTGTACGAAGGAACTGGCGTGTGCCTGTAGGTGTCAGGCTTGCCCAGTGTGCAAGTGTGTGTGTGTGTGCAGGCAGCCCACTTGTACACAGCCACAGGCCCACCTCCTACACATATGCAGACACCAGCAAGAGCTCAAAACACCCACACTCCCACCCTAGCCTGTGGGCTCAGGCCTCACACGCACACACATAAACCTTCTTGTGTGCATGTTCCCAGGTCCTCACACGGAAATGCATGTCCAGACCTCATAGGGTCACCACTGTGCCTAAGTCTCAGATGTGCATCCTTACACAAACATATGTTTGCACATGCCCAGACCTCACACATATTTGCCTGCTGATGTGCACACAGCTGACTTGCCATACGTGTGACGCACGCTCACACCTTCACTCCCATGCAAACCAGCCAACAGCACTCCTTGTGCCACTTGCACACATCCACGCTTGCAGGGCACACTTGCATTTTCAGGCTTCACACACCAGCACCTCCTCCTGGTGCACACACTTGAACACTCGCACACCCTTTCGGTGCACAGAGTGTACGCCAGAGTCAGTCCTTATACAACACACATCAAATGAACACTTGTGTGTGCACTTCCTGACCTCACAGCAGCCCAGACCTGCTTACAGAGCCCCTCTCCCTGCACCCCTGCCGCTACACCCAGGGCACTGGAGTGGTTTTGCCCAAAGGGCAAACTGCCCCCAAACTGTACCCTTACCCTGGATCCATTCCTGCACCTTCCACAAATTCTACTGGGGGCATCCAGGAATGCTTCCCTAACACTCCATAGCCTTAGAGCTACCCCAAGGGGCTCTTCGTCCCCCATCTTCCCACCCCTCTCTCCACACCAGTCGTCAGAGGCAGTAAATGAGCTCTGGGCTGGACAACTTTGCCAAGGACCAGCGCTGGTGCACCTCACACCACTAGCCCCTGCAACTGCAGTGCCCCCTCCCAACTTGCCCGGCTGCCCTTCCCCTCCTCCCAACCCCAGAAAGCCTCAGCCTTCGCTCAGTTATTAACCCCTGCTGTGCCGATGCCCTCGCTCCTACAGGAGCTGGGAGGGGAGAGTCGGGGGAGGATGAGCTTCCCGGGAGAAGTTAGCTGTTCTGCCATCGTGGAAGCTGCCTAACGTCAGGGAGGACTTCCCGGGAGGTGCTGAACTCTCTGTCACCAGAGGCACCCACATGGATGCCAGTTGGCCACCTCCAGAGAAACTCACAGGGAATTCCAGCCTTAGACTCAGCTGACAGGAAAATCCCTTTTTAACCCCGAGTTTCTAAGAATCCGTGTGCACCCAGGTCATGGGATGTGTGTGTGCACGTACATGTGTGTGCACTCACTGGCCTGCATCATCAATCCTTCACCTCTATACACACATTCGCCCAGCTGGTTTTGGCACATCTGTGTACCCACAAACATGCCCGTGCCAGTTCTGGACACTCTGCACATGCAAGTGCCCCCAAACACATACAGCCTTCCTCCCGCTGTGAGCACGGGAAACACCGCCGGTGCCCACCCCCGCCCATGGCACGGAGCCCCTGGGCCCTCCAGGACTCTCTAAGGTGTAACTCACTTTCCCAATTCCTCGAAGAGCTGGTACTCTTCCGTGAAGCGGGTGCAGGTGATGGTGGCCATCCTGGTGCCGTGCGGGCAGGCGAGGCTCAGGGCTGGAGGACCAGGGCTGGGGCACTGCTGTTCTGCTCCCGGAACCAGGAGCCACTCGCCTGCCCGTGCTGCCGAGTGAGAACCTAGAACCGGCTTGACTGAGGAGCCCCCAGCTTCTGAGCAGGGCACTGTGGCTGCTCACAGCCTCGCGAGCCTTCGTCAGCATCCAGGTCCCCATGGCAACCAACTCGGAAACGCCCTGTTCCCGTTGCCCCGGTAACTGCCTCCCCAACACCTGCCTGCCTTCCACTGCGAAACCTGCTCCTCCAGGACGCCCTGGCCTGACCGCACACAATACTGCAGGCATGTGTGGGCTGGGGGCAGGTGGATAAAGCACCCCGGAGGTGGGGAGGGCGGGGCCGGGGGCGGGGGGTGGGGGGAAGGACTGCAGGAGGGGGAGGAGAACAAACTTCATCCACAAGTGATCTGCTCTCTTCCCACCTCCCCCATCTCCAACTGTGGGGCCCTCAGATGGGATTAAATGGGGCAAAAAGGCAGTTGCCATGGTAATGGTGGATGCCACATTCCAGGATGGTCCCCAGGAAAGACAGGATGCAGTTACCCTGGCAACTTCAGCTCCTCTGGAGAGACAGGTATTGCCCCGTTGTCCTGGCAACCGCGGGGTTCTAAGGTTTATAGGGAAATGATGGCTAATTCATTGGGATCTCTCTCTCCTCTCTCTCTTTCTCACTGTAGTCTCTATAACTGTCTCTCTGCTCCTCTCTGTGTTTTTTTTCTTCTGCCTTTTTTTCTTATTTTTTCTTATCTCTGCTCTTTCCCACTTTGCCCATCACCCGGGTGCTCTAGCTTGGGGAAGAAGTCCCCCTTTCACAGCTGTAACAGTTGATCCCTCCTGAGGCTCTTCCATAACCTCTCCCCCGGCCCATGCCCCCGAGGGACCTTGGAGAGCTGGTCTCCTGGGGTTTGTGTCCCAGTTTCTGCTGGCGCTTCAAGTCAAGGTGAAAGGTGGAGGAGGCAGTGGGGAGGGGAGCATGGCCTGGCATGGAGAGAAGCGGCCACAGACCTGCCCTGAAGCCCTCATTCCCAAATCCTGTGGGTACTTTCCTAGCCAACTTCAACTCTTCAGGGCAGGAGCCATATATGTGGCCCCAAAATCTCACCCCAAGGCCTGGGGGGTTAAGAAGGAAGAAGACTGGAGTCTGAGGATCTGAGCTCACTTGGAGCTCTGACATTTGTTGGCTGTGTGACCCTTGGAAAGTCAATGTTCCCCTCTGAGCCTTCAGCTCCTTTTCTGCAAAACAGAGCAAAGCTGCCCCTCAGAGGAGGGTGTGAAGATGGAGTGGGCTTATGGCTGCGGAGGCCTCTTGTTAGTTTCTAGAAGAGGAAAGGGAAGGTCTAAGGCAGGACCATGACCACTTGCATCACTCCCAGCTTGCACTTAGAATCTCAGACCCTTCGCACCCTCTCCCTCCATTCAAGCCCATTTAACAGCCCACCAGGCTGAGGTCTCAGGCCAGCATTTGCCCATAATGAGCACAGGTTGGATAATGGGATCCGAACCCACTGGGTGTCTAGCCCAGCCCCTGAGAACCTCTAAATTCCCTTACTGGTCACTTCATTTTCTGGACATGGTGTCTGCTTGTTGGTAATCCCCAACCCCAGCAGGTCCCCGACTCACATCCCTAGGTCCGGGGGTCCCTGGAGACATCAGGTACCCCATCCCCCAAATTCTACCCCTATTCCTGGAAGTCGAGGGTGGGAATGATGCAGCCGCTTCTTCCCAGGAGAGAAACAGGAGGGAGGCAGAGGGGAAGGAGGAGAAGCAAGCAAGGGAGGAAGGGTGATGGCTTAGCCACTAATTGTACCATTACCACCTTCAGAAAAAGGAAAAACCACTCAGTTTTGTTTCTGTGCACAATATGCTTCCCGCTTCTGCCGCCAACGTTGCAATTCAGAGGCAAAGAAGAGAAGCCTGTGCTCTGGGCTCACAGCCGGTGGGCAGCAGGCAGGGCACGGAACACGGGAACGCCGCTAGAGGCTAGCTGTGTAAATGGGGACGTGGGGGAAGGGCCGCACCACCGCTCCCTGCCGACCTTGGAACCGGTTCCCAGACTTCCACACATGAAAATGCTGGAACACCCCTTAGTGACCACTGAGGACACCCCTGTTATTGTCCAGGAGAGAGGGAACGTGCAGTGGTTAGAGCAACTCCACGATCTACAGGCTGTGTGATTTTGGATAGGTATCCTAACGTCTCTGTGCCTCAGTTTCTTGTCTGCAGAGTTAAAAATATTCCCTACCTCCAGGCTATTCTATGGCTTAAATGAGATGAGCCCAGTGGCTGACCTTGAAAGTACTCAATAGATAGAAATTGCTATTATTGAAGGACTCTGAAGATTTCCCTACGCATTGCTCTCTCTGCACCATGGAAGCACACACCACCATCTTCGAGTCCCAGCACTGTGGGGTGTCATTCTCTGAGGCCCCACTGGAGTAGAGCTCGTGATTTGAACATCGTTGCCCAGGCCTGGTTTGCAGCAGTTCCTGTAGAACAAAGGACTTGGAGCTAGAGCGAGAGGGCTCACAAGGCCTGAGGCTGTAGTCATGGGAATCTAATGTTCTGAACAAAGGAGGTGATGGCTTGGCCTGACCACCCTGTTTCTCCTCCTCGCCTTCCCCCATGAAATGGAGCGTGTCAGAAGAGAGCAGAGTCCATGGGGGGAGGTCCCAGGGTCATCCCGGAAGAGCCAGCAGTGACTAGAGGACAAGAGGGAGGAGGGAGGCATAGAGGACCAGCTTTCACCCTGACTCTGACAGAAACCATGGAGATGGCTTCAGGGGGCAGGGCCAGTCCAGCCCCACTCCAGCCATCACCCCCATCACCAAATCCGCCTATTCTTCCACTTCCATTTCTCCTCTCAGCTCTCCTTTTTTCTTTCTTGCCTTTCCCCCGTTTCCTTCCGTCCCTCCCTAGAGCCCTTCTTCCTCAGTGCTACCTACCTCCCCTCCCATTCCTTTTCACCTCCCTTCTTGTCGCCATCTTCCTTTCCTTCTGTCAGTCTCCATCACTCTTCTCTCTTCCCAGCGCCGGCCGGACCCAGTGCACAGGGTCCTGGGGGATGGGCAGGACCCAGACTGCAGGATCCTGATGGTAGAGAGATGGCTGGAGAGGAGATGGGGGCGGGGGGGGGGGGGGGCGGAGAAGGGAAAGAAGCTAAAAAGGTCTCCTTGGCAACTCTCTTTCACACACACACACACACACACACACACACACACACCTCTGAACCTTTGAGAACCTAGCACAGGCATGCGGACACTGCCTTGGACGAGCACCCCATCCAGAGTGTAAGGCCCCGCTAATTCACTGCCTCCCGTGTGCCAGAAAGGCTGCCAGCTGTGCCCAGTGGTTGCAGGGAGCAAGGAGCCGGCCCTGCCTCCGTGGCGCTGAGAGAATGAGTTGATGATTGCATCAGGAGAGACTGTTCCTACCAGACTCTCCACTCCCCAGGGCCAAGGCAGGCATGCGAGCCGGCACGTGTGCCCCCATCTGCAACATGTGTGCAGTACTCAAGAGCAGGACTGCATGCCGCGGGCTGGTGGCCAGCGATGGGAGCCCTCCAGGGCACTGAGCACAGCTCTGACATGCTAGGATAGGGAATGTGAACATGAATACAGGCTGTACCCCTTGTATATGGGGAGGGACAACTGGGGACCAGGGCCAAGTTCCTAGGCCATGGTAAGGAAGGGGGGTGGGGGAGATTGGAGTCCCAGTAGCACCGTGACAGCTGACTCCAAGTCCACAGCCCTCTCAGGTGCTCATGTGCACATGCCCAAGTGCCTCGGGGTCCTGCAGGGCCTGGACAGGCACCACGGGAAACGTGCCAGCCAAAGGGTCCCCATGAGGCCTGTCCCACTAAGGACAGTGAGCATAAGGGGCAGAACCGGTGGAAAGTGGGCCAAGAGAGAAACGCTCCCGCAGAGGGTCTAGGCAGAGGGTGATGTGGTGAATTCGTTGTAATAATGCCAGGCTTGACTCGGAAGGGAGAGAAGTCGGGGGTCAGGGAGCAGCACCGTCCTCTGAGATGTCCCCCACAGGAGGCATCCCTGCAGGGGAGAGGGAGCAGGGAGCCACGGGACAGAGGACAACAGCTGCCGGGCCAATGTCTGCACAGCACGACCTGCAGTTAGATGACCCAAGTTCAAGTCCTCCTGTTGGCTGTGAGTACTCGTGGCACATCTTTTCTCCGTTGGGGCCTTCACTTCCTCCTGAGAAGTATGGGGACAAGATGTTCCTTCACAGACTTCAAGGATATGAAAAATAGCTATTTCCACTTTAAAGCCAGGCCCTGTGCTAAGCACTTGACATATTGCACTATTTGTACCTCACAACGAATGTCCATGAGACAGGTACAGTCATTGTCTGTTTTGCAGAGATGAGACGTGATTTACCCATCTGGGGTTTGTGTGACTTCAGCACCCGGCCCTGAGCTCTTTGGCCTCCACTAGGATTGGAAGGGCCCTGAGGGAGCCCATGTCCCCTACAGCTCGGTGGCCGAGGCACAGAGGAAGGAAGCTGCCCTCCCGCAGTCACAAGTCAGGGGCAGAGCCAGGGCCACAATCTGAACCCCTGACTCCCAGCTCCTTCCCTTACCCTGCTCTGCCTTTCCCCTTTCTGACACTGCGGGGCTGCTTGCCCAGGTCCCAAGAGAGCCAACAGGCACTGAGGAGAGGAGGAAATGGTGCCAAGGCCCAGGGTGGGGCTCAAGCCCCTCCAGCCGGGTCTGGGGCTCTCTCCTAGTTTCTAGGAGACTGGCCGTCACTGTTCAGGATTCTATAAGTGGGGCCCAGCTCAGATAGGGCTGCCCCCGGCTCAAACCCATCAGGCTGACAGACCTGCTGCCATCTGGTCCAGCCAAGGGGGAAACGGGGCTTGTCTGGCATCCCTGGGCTGCACTCCCCCAGATCAATGACCCAAGAGGTCAGAGCTGCCTCTGGTCTGCCTGCCGCCCATCCCTCCCATGGTGCAAGCATCTGCCTGCTGATACCAGTCAGAGGCTTGACACAGAGTCCAGACCAAGGTGCCCTGGCTGGAGGGAATGCAGGGGCCATGAGAGGCAAGACAGGGGGCAGAGGGAGCATGCTGACTGCTGGGCAGAGCAGAAGCCACAGCAAGCAGACTGAGCCTCTTGTCACAATGTCCTAGGTCCTGGTCACTTCTCATCTCAAGGCCTCCCTCAATCTCAGGTCAGGGCCAGCTGCCAGCACCCCTGTTAGGCAGGCTTGGGGGCTGCTGGGCTGTGGATCAGATGGCAAGCTGAAGCTTGAGGGGGGCTTCTGGGCTGTTGCTGGGCTCTGAGTTAGGTAGGACTCCGCCAGGTGAGCTCTAGGCTGAGTTGGAGATTAGACCAAGCCTCCTTCTCAGGAATCAGAATGGAGCCAGCCCCCAACCCCACCTGGGCTCCCTGTTTGGGGCCAGGTTGACCAAACGGTGGGCCTTGGTGTGTAGGAAAGAGCAGAAAGGACTTTTTATGGCTCTGCACTTGTGCAGAGAAGCAGGGCTGGAGATGGAGGCTGGGCCACCTTGGGCAGAGCCAACTCAGCAGGCATGGGCAAGCCTATCACTCAACTGGTACAAGCCTAGAGCCAAGGGGGAGCCCGGCTCCACGTCACTCTGGCATGGCCCAGTCCACAAAGCTGGGACGAGCCTCCAACAGAGCAGGGGTATCCTGAGTAATGGGCAGACTGTGGACAACCCTCCCTGGGGCACACTGGGCCTGGGCCACATTCCAATGGGTGACTTCTTCCAAGTCTCCCTCCTGAGCAGGCAGAAGCTGGGGCTGGCTGGAATCAGAGGCCTCAGCCACTCCTGGTCCCTGCCCACCATGGCCCTGGCACCAACATCCTGGGAAATGGGAAAGGTTTCAGTTGGGGGACCAGGGTTGGGAGTAAGGACATGACTGGTCGCCTCTGTCCTGCAGCCCCAGGACAGACCCTCCCTCCTGGGTTGAGCCACCTCTGCAGTGGGGATGCAGCTCTTAAAACCCAAACCCTCTCCACTGCACCGCACCCACTGCACCCCACCCCATCCACAAGCTGACGAGTCCTAACAGGCCTCCTTTGCCAGTGACAAAAATAACTATTTTCAAAATTCACAGCAGGGCTTTCGCCTACACACGCTGTGCCGACTGGAACCTGAAGGGAGATCTGCAGAACGCAGTGTGCGGATGAGGCACGCTGTGCAGCAAGGAGGCTCTGAAACCCCCATGCCCCTCCTCCCACCACTCAGCCCATGTCCCGCAACACACACACATACACAGGGGAACCCAGAACAGCCAGGTAGGAAGGGCTCTTAGATCATCCACTATACACAGGGGACACTGAGGCCCAGAGCGGGTCTGGGATTTACCTGAGGTTACCTAGTGGATTTGTGCCAGGATGTGACCAGAACCCACACATTCCACCTCCAGGCCAGGCTGCCCACCTCCTCTCCCATTCACTTGGCCAGTGGTGAGCTCACACCTGGATGCACGTGCACACACCCTCCTGTGCTCATAAACAGCACTACAGCCCTTGCTTCTGTGTTACTGCATTTTAATCAAGTTCATGGGCTCCTCCACAACCACTAGCTGGGCCAGTCCTCTACAGCCCTGTGAGGTAGGCAGAGCCAGAGATAGCATCCCCATTTGCAAGTGGGGAAATCGAAGCCCAGAGGGAAAGGACTGGGCCCAAGGTCAAAGCAGAACCCAGATGTCCTGAGTGTTGGTCCTGCAGCAGCTGACAGCCGGGCCAATTCCTCTGGGCGCTGGGGACAGGAAGGAGAGCTCTCTACCACAGCCACCCCCACCCAACAGTCCGGCCCCAGGCCATGTGAAGAACCAGGAGGGCCACCTCCCTGGACCCCTGCTCTTGCACCCAGCACTCAGGGGTCTCTTCGGAGAGTGGCCAGATTGCCATGCCTCGGCTGGGGTCCAGGCCTGGACTTGCCTCCATGTGGCCCCTCACCCGCCCAAGCAGTACCGCAGAGGGCAGGGTTCGAGGATGAGACCTTAAATGAGCTGGGAGGTGGTGAGGTCCCAGGAACTGCACCATGGCACCGGCACCAGATCCACACCACAGAGCCACAACATCATTTCACAGATGAGGAGAGTGAGGCCCAGAGAGCTTGTGCGGCCACCCGAGGTCACAGAGTAAGTCAATGGAGAGTCAGGACTGGGATTCGGGCATCCCGTCTAGTTTATTCTACCCCTATGCCCAAGCCAAACTCCCTACCCTTCAACTGAGCGGCTATATACCCTACATTTCCCTGCAGATGGAGCCGTGACCTCAGGCCCCTCCCTGGTTGAGGAGCAGGACCAGGCTTGAGAGGAGGAATACATTTAGGAGGACAGAGATCCTCCCCCGACTCCTCCTACATCAGATCCGGTGGGACATCAGTCTGGTGTTGAGTTTACGGAAAAAGGATCGCAGCTTGCAAATCTTGCATTTTTTCTTGCGGCGCCCCCGGGAGAGGCTTCGAGACCTGGCTTCCTCCTCCTCCTCCTCTTCTTCCTCATCACTGGCCCAAGGCCCCCAAGCACCCCCATTAAAGTCAGGATGGGCCCGGGGATTCTCAGCCGGGTAGCGCACAGGGATGGCTGTGCGGTTATAGTCCACCAGGCGGGCCAGCAGGGCGCGGACCACATCTGGCCGCTGGCCAGCGAGGTCCTCCCGTTCGTAGGGGTCAGCACTGATGTTGAAGAGCCACACAGCCTGGCGGGCACTGGCCATCCGCTCCAGGTTCCACCAGCTGCCTGGGAAGGCGGCCAGTGTCTGCGGTGGGATCCAGTCGCCATAGCCCGGGTCTCCCGTCAGCAGCTTCCACTCGCCCACACGGATGGCAGCCTGCACAGCCGTGTTCCAGATGCCGAAGCCACCCTCAAGGGAGCCGTGCCGGGCGTGGTTGTAGAGCGGGTCAATGTTGTGCAGGATCTCCGTGCGTGGCGAGGCCCGGCCCTCGCTGATGGCTGGCCACACGTCATAGCCATCTAGCCCATCGGCCACAGAGACAGTGCCACCTGCCAGACCCACCAGGGTCGGGTACCAGTCAGTGATGTGCACCAGTGCCCGGCTGGTCCGTCGCTTTCGCTTGAGCAGAGGGCTATGGACGAAGCCCAGGCCCCGCACACCACCTTCCCAGTAAGTGCCCTTGCGTCCTCGCAGCGGCCAGTTGCTGCCCCCAGAGAAGGTCTGGCCGCCATTGTCACTGGAGAAGATGATGACACTGTTGTTGTAGAAACCATAGCGCTTCAGGGCCCAGGTGATATTGCGCACGGCCTCGTCCATGCAGGTCACCATGGCTGCGTATTTCCGCCGGGCCACGTTCCCCATGGAGCGGTAGCGGTACAGGTACTCACGAGGGGACTGCAGGGGCGTGTGCACCGCCTGGAAGGCCACGTAGAGGAAGAGGGGCTGCCGGGGGCTGTGGCTGGCTAGGATGTGGCTGACACGCTGGGCATAGAGCATGGTGGAATACTGGCCACTGAGCCCCCAGGCCACATTCTCGCCCTCGTGCAGGTCAAAGCCACACACCCCAGGGCCATCGCAGTTGTCATAGGTGTAGTAGTCCACATTGCCCGTGAGCGAGCCCAGGAAGGTGTCAAAGCCCCGGCGGGTGGGCAGGCACTCCTTCCGGTAGAAGCCCAGGTGCCACTTACCCACCATGTGGGTAGAGTAACCTGCCTCCTGCAGCTTCTGGGGCAGCGTCACCTGGTCCAAGGGCAGGCAGTTGGGCTGCCGAGGGCGGATGATGGAGTGCTGAAGTCCTGTGTGGATCTGGTACCTGGTGACAAGAGCAGAGGGCACAGAAGGCACAAAGTGAGCTACAAACCACTGCCCTGGCCACCCAACCCCAATACTCACCCTGAAGTGGGCTCTGGTCCCAGCGTTACGAGCAGGCACAGTAATAGTAACCAGCAGGTGTTATCCAATGTGCTGAGCACTTCAAATGCATTATCTCTTTGAATCATCAAAATCAGCCGAAGCGGATATTATTACCACTTGAGGAGACTGAAGCTCAGAATGGTTAAGCCACTCACCCAAGATAGCACAGCTAGGAAGGTGGGGAGTTAAGCGTCAAACCCAGGTTCATCTTAACAACAAAATAATAATAGCTAACACAAGTACTCACTATGTGCTCAGTACTGAACGAAGCCCCTATATGAATTATCTCACCAAATCCTAACTGCAACCTAGGAGATACATATCATTGTTTTCCCATTTCCCAAATAAGGAAACTGAGACTCAGTAACATAAATCACTCACCCAGTGATTCATACAGTTAGTAACTGGCGTTGGGATTTGTGTCCCTGGCAGTCGTTAGAGACTTCTGAGTCCCTCAGTTCTCAGCCACTAACTTGCTATGGGGCCTAGAGAAGTCCTGCTCTCTTGGGCAAACTCCTACTCACTCTTCAAAGCCCAGCCCAAAGTCTCCCACTGTAGAGTCTCTCACAAATCTTTCAAAAAATGAGTCACTTTTGCTTCTGAGTCCCCTCAGCATTTAGTACCCATGATCATTGTCACCCTTGGCCATGAGATTCTACTCAGTGTACATACTCAACTCTGTATTCCGCACTCAGGTGGTATTTAAAGAAACACTCAATTACTTATGGAATAAAAGAATGATACAGGATTTAGAGTCAGAAGGTACCTAGGTCATCCTCTAGCTTAGTCACCTTGTCTTTAAAAGGAACTAAGATCTAGAATAGGGGAAGGGCCTTCCCAAGGTCGTTCATTGGTCAGGGGCAGAGCCAGGACTTGAACATAAATACAAACAGAGTCCAAGCACAGACTCTTTTCCAGCAAACTAGGCTGCCACTTCCCTGCCCTGTTTGCTCATGTGCAGGAGTGAGTTGGTTGAAATGGAAGATTTTTACAAGTCTTTCTAGCCCTGCCCAGGTAGCTCAGTTGGTTAGAGCATCGTCCTGATATGCCAAGGTTGTGGGTTTCATCCCTTGGGCAGGCACATACAAGAATCAACCAATGAATGTATAAACAAGTGGAACAACAGATCCATGCCTCTTGCCCGCTCTCTCCCTTCCTCTCTCTTTTAAAATCAATGAAAAAAATCAATAAATAAAAACATTTCAGTTCCCAAACTCTATGAGACTAGTTCTTCTGTGCCTGCCTGTAAATTCATGTGGCCCCTGGATCTGGGTCACTTACAAAGGCTAACACCCTGAGGCAAAAGCAAATGGTTAGCCTGCATTCCTCATTGCTCATTCATTCATTCAAATCTGTGGTAAAGGCCCTCATGTGATCTGCTTATGGGGTCTTGCCTTTACTCGTCTTAAAAGTCCAGAGTAAATAAGAAGCCTGGAACTTCACAGGAGTATTAGAAGCCCACACCTCTCACCCCCTTTTCCCTGGGGTATCCAAACTAAGTCAAGGCCTGAATAACTGACACTTTTAACCCAGGTACTGGGGGAGTAGGGGAGGGATCTGTTTTGGTTTCTTTATCTTATAGCTGTTATTATTAGCTATCATTAGCTACTACTGCCATGTTTTATTTTTTATTTTTTATTTTAAAGAGAAAGGAAGAGGGAGAGAAAGAGAGAGAAACATTGATATGAGAGAGAAACACCAATCAGCTACCTCCACTATGCACCACAACTGGGGATCAAACCTGTAATCCAGGCATGTGCCCTGACTGGGAAGCAAACCTGTGACCTCTCAGTTTATGGGATGGCGCTCCAACCCACCAAGCCACACCAGCCAGGGCTACTGCCATTTTTAATGCTATATGCCACATACATTATTTCACTTAATCCTCAAAAAATCCTACAGGAAAGAATATTATGACCTTCATTCTACAAATGATAAGACTGAAGCTCCCAAAAGTGCAGCCATGGGCCCAGACAGCTGGCAGTGGAGCTGAGCTTTGAACCCAGTGTGTGCAACTCATGCTCAAAATTTCTCGGTGATGCGGCCTCTGCAGACCTCAGCCGAGCTAATGAATGATTAGAGTGGGTTAGAGGCCAAGCCTCTCTTTCTAGGGGCTGAGCACCATGGAGCACTGTTGTATAAAGTGGGTGGGCCGGCTCAGAGTCCCTGAAGCCCATGTGCAAGTGAGTAACATGAGAAATCTTGGCTCTCTCCAGCTTCACCAGACACGACTGGACTTATTAACAAACACTAATGAGAGTCGTCAGCATCAGTCAGATGGAGCCAGCTGCAAGGGGCGGAGGGCGCTGCCCAGCCACACTCAGCTAACTTCACCGATCAGGGGGCTGGAACGCTGCCCTGCTGGCTGCTCATTCCCCTGCTTACACCAACGTCACCTCTTGGGACAGAAACGCTAACTTGTGCACAACTCCCGAGAACACAGATTCCTCCTCCCTCTGCTGGAGGTTAGTCACCATTTGGTCTTCACCACCACTGCCACGCGCACCACATACAGTGGCCCCTCTTCCTCCCGTTCTCTCTCTCTCTGTTCTTGGATGGAAATGCTGAGTGCCAGGAAGAAAAGGCAGCTATTGGCCTCTCAGCCCTTCTCATTACAGACCCCAAGGTCGGTACGGGCATGAACGAGTCGGGTCTTGCCTGATTCCACGCCTCAGTTTCCCCCACCCAGGAATCAGGGAGATTACCGCTCTGGTTCCCGAGTTCACGCTAGTGGCTTTTGGGTGGAACTTGGGAGAAAGCAGGCCTTGGACCCCATCCAGGGAGGATTAGCTTCAGCCTTGCCAAAGGATTTTCTCTTAAGTGGCCAGAGTTTGCTTTCCACACCCCCACGTCCTGTTCCCCTGCTCTTTTAATCCTGTAGTCCTGCCACCTTGCCTGTGGACAACTCCTTAAGAGAAAGCAGCAGGTCTCCTTGGGACCACCAGCCAAAGTGGGAGGCTTTTGCATATGAAAAAAACAGATGTTTGGAGAAATTAAGTAACTAGCCTAAGGCTACTTAGGTCCTGGCAAACTGTGTGCGTCTTTCCCCTCCACCTATCAATTCTTTGGTTTCTTCCCAATATAGTCATCAGTTTGGGGATTCGAATCCCTCCAGTGACATAGAGGCTGCCATGCACTGACAGCCAAGCAGGTTACACGAAATTCATTCCATCCTTACCACTGTTTCTCACGATAAAAACTGTACTTCACCCCATTTTATGGACAAGAAAACTGAGGCTTAGAGATATTAAGTAATTTGTTCAGGGCCTCAGGGCATGTAAACAGGAGCGCCATTCAGACCTAAGTGTCAGAGGCTGCCACTCTCCTCTAACGAAGGGTGACCAGATGTCCCCTTCACATGGTATGGGGTGTGTGTGTCCTAGAACACCCGAGGGAGAAGACCTCAAAGATGATCCAACCCCGTCAGTGTACAGGCAGGGAAACTGAGGCCCAGAGAGGGCAAAGGATTTACTAATGATCACACAGCTAGTTGGAGACAGAATTGGCCAGGAGCCCTGGTTTCTCGGGTCCCAGAGGGGCAACTGTAAATGCCGGGGAAATCTCCGACTGGGTTTATTTGGGACTTGGACGGCCGGCGGCCTGGGCCATGCCTACCTGCCCGTGAGAAGTTGGCTCCGCGAAGGCGTGCAGATGGGCTGGATGTAGTAATTCTCCAACTTGACACCCTCGGCGGCCAGACGGTCCAGCGTAGGGGTCTCAATATCTGAGCCATGGTAGCCCACGTCGTGGTAGCCCTGGTCGTCGGTAAGGATGAAGATAATGTGGGGAGGCTGGGGTGGAGCGACGGAGGGCTGCTCGCTGGCCTCACTGGGGCCGTCAGCCACCAGACTCGGCTTGGTCCAGTCCCAGGACAGGTAGCCGAAGCTGAGCAGGCTGACCAGCGAGAAGCCAGTAAGGGCGTGCATCGCCAGGCCGGCCCGTGCGTCCCGGCGCGCAGGGCTCCCCAGGCCTCACCGCCGAGCGCGCCCAGGGCGCACGGCCCGCACGCCCGCCGGCCGCCGGCCCGGACGATGCAAAGCGCTTAGCGCCCCCGGGGGCGGTCCGGAGAATTTTCTGGGACTGGAGACCGGACGGCAAGGCCGGACCTGCGCGGCCGCAGCCGGGCACTCTGGGGAGGTCAGACCCGCGCCCAGCTATCTTCTGCCGCCCTCTCGCCCGCCCTGTGCCGCCCTCGTTCCCTCTCCCCCAGCTCAGCCAGGCCAGCCTGGGACGCGGCGTGGTGACTTCCAAAAGGTGCTCTCCACCATCCTCGGACTCTCCTCTCCTTCTAGCCCTCGATTTCTCCCGCCTCCTAATTTCTCTCGCCTCTGCTTTCCCTTTCTCCTCCCCCCGACCCTCCAGCCCCAGGCCCGGCCTCTCGCCCCGCCCGGAGTCTCGAGAACAGTTGGCCCCCCCCGCAGGAAGGTGGGCAGGACCCCAGCGGGGAAGGGGAGGGAGGCACGGGTAGGGCGGGTCTGGGGTTGACACCGCCAGAGAGAATGAGAAAAAGTTGTAACATCTGCCGGCGGAGCTCCAGGTGGAGGGGCGGACTCCGGGAGGCGGCTCCGCCCCCGGGCGGGAAGCCCAGGCCCGCTCGGCCCTCCAGCTTCAGCGCCCGCCCTCGCCCCGGGGCTGGGGAAAGGAGGGAGGGGGCTTCTTGGAATTCGATGGAACCGCTCCGGCACGGCCCGGTCTGACATTCCTCGATTATGGAGTCTTGGCGTCTCTGAATTGCCAGCCCTAGAAGGACGCGCCTAATTTTCTGTTCCAACCGGGTCATCCACAGTGAGAGAAACTGAGGCCCTGCGATGGGTGGGAACTCTTCTAAGTCACGGAACAAGTTAGTGGCTTCTTCCCTGGGGCTCACAGTGGCTGTTTGAGTGGCAGTAGAGAGAGCAGTGGAAAATAGGAGATGACTTTGGCAAGCACCAGGGGCTGGAAATCAGGAAACTAGGTTCTGGCCATGCCAGCTTCCCTCTCCTCAACCCCTCCCCCTCCTCATTCTGCAATTCACAACTGGAATCTTAGAATGCCGGCGCTAGATTCCAGAGGGCAGGGGTTGTTGTATACATCTTGTACCCACAGGACTAGAAGCTCCATCAGTACATGTAACATGCGTGAATGAATGGATGAATGGGCCCCAAGGGTCGTCCATGCCAACTCCCACCCAAGAAAATCTCCACTGCCTGGAAAGCAGGGGGCCCGCTGTATGGCCGAGGAAGGCAGTGGAAGAACGCGGACCAGCGCGTCTGGATCTTCTGATTTTTTTTTTTTTAAGGAAACCCAACTGTAGTCTATTATGAGAAATATTCCAGGTGTTACGTGCTAGTACCTAATTTCAAGCCAAATTTAAACACCATGCAGGCCAAATCAAACCTATTTGAGGACTATTTTAGGCCATTGGGTGCCCGATTGCAACTTTTGGATTGTTTTCCAAATGTTTACTCGACTACATTTTTAAATGAGAGAACTGAATTAAACAACACCAGTTAGGTTTCTGTACCACCAGGACTTCAAAGGTTTAATATGCTAATCTCCAGGAGGGAGGCTGGTGAAGCTGTGTTTCTCAGTCTCATGTGAACGAGGATCCCTTTTTCACAGAGTCTCTGCAAGAGCCAGTGTCTTGTGAACTTTGGGAAACAAAGACTGCCCAGGTGTGTGTCTTCTCTTCTAGCGCCTTCCCCCTGCCAGTGTTCTGTCGAGATCCCTCCCACTTCCTCAGAACCACGGTGTGTGGGGAGAGCCGCCATGCCTCCAAAATAGTCGATCTGCATTTGGAAATGAGGGCTGCGTGGGGCCGCTGCTCCTGTTTGCTCAAAGGCCCATATTTAGGGTGACCAGATTTATCAAAAGGGAAAACTGAGCCTGTTCCTGCACAAGAAATGTCGAGGACAGACGGGGAAAATGCAGCCTCCTGAGGAGAAGGCGGCTAAAACGGGGCTTCGGCAGAGGCAATCCTGGAGGTCAAAGTGGGACAAGTCACAGGGGGGTCAATGGGCTTGGGTTTTGCACTCTTTGCATTGTCCCAGACCTTGGTCAGGAGGAACTGGAGAAATGGCACAAGGATAAATGGCAAGGGAGAGGGGGAGAGGACTCAGCCTAAAAGAAAAGCAGTCTAGGAGGCTCACAGGCCGCAGATCTCTATGAGGCTGTCGCAAGGACAAGACAAGGCAGGACAAGCAGAATTTCTGCGAGTTCATGACTGTGGCCTCTGACATCAGACTGCGTGAGTTCGAATCTTGCCACTTAATTGGGCAAATTATTTTACTTCCATCAGCCTCAATTCCTCCATCTGTAAAATGGGATGATAATATTAATGAGATACAATACAGTGCTCAGTAAAGTGGCCGGCACATAGTAAGCACTCAGCGAATGTGAGTGGTTTTCACGATTGTCCTCCTGGGTTCTGAGAGAGAAAACTACGTCTTATGAGTGAAAGGGACTGGAAAGCAGATTTCAGGCCAATTTAGGGAATTACTTTTGTAAGTAATCTGGCAGCTTGCTTAATAAAAGGATGACAGTGATGGATGAATCACCATGTGGAGAAGAGTGGGTGGAGCTCTTGGGCCTAACTCTTGTTCCCTAATAGTCACATTTCTTTTAAGAGCCCCTCAGTAATCACCCAAACCCACGGTGGCCTCAGAGGACACCATTCCCCCTCTAATGTTCTAGGGAGATAAATACTGAACCTCAGTTCTTCTTTTAGTGCCATTACACAATGAGACCAGGCTGGAACGTTTAAACCAGACATTTTCAAAGGCTCAGAGTTGACAAGGGGAAAATAACTGCAAAGAGTCATGTGAATTCAGGTCATATCTTTTTCAAGGTGTGACTCACTCATCTTCCCTTTGTGTCCGCTACAGGATGCCTGCCTGCCTTCTCTCCTGGGTCAGTGACCATCAGCCCTACTCCCACCTAGGTAGACTCTCAACAACTCCAAGATCTCAGAGAAACAGAAGCTAGCCTTTGCAGTCTCTAACTCAGGACCTACCAGCTTCCAAGACGATCGACAGCTGGAGTATCTACCCCATACAGGTAAGATCTGTCCATCCATTCATTCAGGTGAGCACTCACCCCATAACCCCCAAAGGACAGCTGGGAGAAGCCTAACATCTGCACACGAAATGCAGATCAGATGGGGGAGGGATCCAGTGTGGTTACTTCCTGACAGAAATTTCCATTGATGAAATCAGACTTCAAAGAAGCACTGAGCTCCTCCTTACTGGTATTATGCAAGAAGGGGATAGAGTGCCCATCTGTCCAGGAAGTAACAGGAAAGATTCCTGAACTAAAAAGGGGAGCAAAACTCCAGGACTTTAAAAGTTCTTTCCAACTTGAAAATGTTATGATTCTAATTATTTATCCTCATAAAGCTTTTTAGGGCAGAGATATAGAAGTGAAAAACTGGGTGAGTCTGTTTTGTGGCTTCGTCTTTCATTGCTATGCATGACATGTATGTTAGTGAGTGTGTGTGTGTGTATGTATATGTAGTTGTGTGTGTGTGTGTGTGTGTGTGTAGGTATGTTTGACCACCTTTAAACTGAAATTATTTCAGTGCAGATATTATTTCCTTCTGACTTCATTGACCTTGGCAAAGATCTTATGTCCAGATTATGCCTGCTGTCACCCTCTGGAGGTCCATTTGTCTTAGGCTGGACCCAATCAAGGACCTGAGAGAAAATACAGAAGGCCTCTGAGCAGTCAAAAATGTCAGAGCTCAGTCCCTTAACTCAGAGGAGCGCTCCTCGGGCTTTCTTCACTCCAAGCCCGTGGGCTCTTACTTTGTGCACAGTTCTTATGAGGCCTATGGTTTCATTTCCTAGCCCAAGAATATGGGAAGCAGCTCAGAAAAAAATATATAAGGTGGGCGTGAGGAAACTGTCGGTTTTATACTAATATAGTTTCAAAGTGAAACATTAGGGAGAAACAAAAGAATAAAAATCAGACTGACGAATGTCAAAAGGCTGGGAGTTGGGGGCCATTTATACAGGAGAAACGAGCCATATCTACCTGAACAGACCCAAGGGCATCACCAAATCACGCCCCAGCACAGAAATGAATGATGGGTTGCCCCCCAGAGTTTAAATTTAGTTCAGGATCCTCTCTCTAAGGAAGACGGGGAGGGCATGGGCTATTTTTTTTAAGTTTTCCATCCAAAAGTGGTTACTATGACAAATTCATGGTATAAGCTCAGCTTCAGTTCTAGAGCATCCTCCCTGAAGATGCAGGCTTAGGAGGCAGCAACGTCTGCAGTGGGTTCCATGGTGATGAGGATGCTAGAGGTCAGGCTCAGAAACCCAATAGCATGCTCCTCCCCAGTGGCAGGCCTGGCTCGTCCACCTCCTGCCTCCTCTTCACAGCTCTCAGATGCCAGCACTTCGAGCCCCAAAGCCTCTGTATCTTGAAAGGGCGAGTGGCCCTGGGTAAGAAGCACACTGAGTGGAGCACAGAATTCCAGCTCCGGTGCCCTTCCCGACAGTGAGGCCATATCCTCCTAATGAGCAGCTTCTCTCTCTGAAAAAGACCTCCACAGGGAAATTCCACAGGTTCCCTTGGACACCTAGTCTAGTGACCGCTGGTTCTCACGTTAGCTCCCATGATCTCGACTAAGGCATCATTAATTAGAATTATTTATGATTCATGGAAAGCTTGGGGGTATTTAAGAAAGCCATGCTGGCTACATCATGGAGAATGTATTGCAAAGGCCCCCATGAAGAGTCCACGTAGGAAGGCCAGGTGGAGACAGGCCTGCCCAGACGAGCTGTTCTCCCCAGTGGGCAGGCTTCGGGGCACCTGAGGCCCAGTTCTTCCTGAATATTACTTGGGGAAAATGATTCTTAGAGGAAAAGTGTTTTTCTTTGATGCTAGGGCACCCCGTTTAGCATTTCCGGGAGAGACACACATGCCCCCTGACCCTTGCTTCTGGTCCTCTCTGTGGTCTCATTGAGTGTCCCTTGGTGTCGAAATCCCCATATCAGACATTGGAGCCAGGAGTGGCAAGAGCCCGGGCACCCGCAGCCCCTTGCCTTTAACCCTTCACGGGGCCCCGGCCGGGGCATTTCAATGGCTCCTTTCTCTGGCGCTCAATGAAACATTCTTCCAAGTAGATTATTGAAAGCAGAGCTCTGAGTACACAATGGGTGCTCTGTGCTCACAGCCGCTGCCCAATCTGTTTGCCCAGCCTGACTGCGGCCTCGCCTCTCCGCACACTCCCCACCCTCCACCCACCCGACCCCGGCCCCACGCCCCATCTCGAGGCCAGCTCAAAGGGAGGCCGTCTGAAAGGACTTGTTCTCCGTCTTCTCAGAAGTTCCCGCCGTGGCTCTGCCAGCCTCGGAAGGAATTAGCCTAACGGGACCCAGGTCTGCCTCCAGCCCATCCATCCGGGGCTCTGCCCACTTTAATGTCCAGAGGCTTCCCTCCTCGCTGGTCAGCTGACACTTCTCTCTCTCTCATACACACATGCACCCACGAACACACACACATGGAGTGGGGCTGCTGAGATCAAGGTAAATAAATGGAGGGGCTCCTAAAAGTGAGAATGACAGGCTGCCCACCAGCACCCCCTCCTTCCAGATTCAGAGAAGGCAAAAGTGGTTCCTTCCAGATTCAGAGCAGGCAAAAGTGTGTCCTGGTCAAATGTGAGACGCCGGGAGCCAGATTGCCTGTGTTCCAGCCCAGCTCCTCCATTTGCTAGCTGTGTGACTTAGCGACCTGAGTTAGCCTCTCAGTACCCTGTCTGTAAAATGGGAATAATAGCAGTACCTGCCTCATGAGGTTGTTGTGAGGATTACAACAGACAAGGCATGTAAACCTTTTAGCTCAGTGCCTGGTGCATAATGGGCTCTCAAGAAATGATCACTATTGTTATTATTGTTCCTATATTTAGATTCTATTGTCATTGCCCTAGGAGTCTGTTCCTGCAAATATATAGCTTCCTCGGGAACAAAAGTCTACATTCCCCTGATCAAGTCAGTCCTCTCCTCCAAAATTTCCAGTGGCTACCAACTGCCCGCAGTAGCAAGTTCAAGCATCTTGGCTTGGCATTTAGAGATAGAACTTTAACTTCCTTCTTTATAATAGCCACTGGCTATCTGGAAGGTAAATGGTCCCATCACTGCTATTACTGTTGTTCCTATCATCTACTGTATTTGGAGAAACTGGCTAGTAGCACAGCTATAAGGAGACCCCACCTAGGTGCAAAACCCTGAATCAACACCGAATTAACATTTGAAAGTAATAATAAGAATATAATAGCTTGTATTGATTGAACATCCACTACGTGTTAGGCACCATGCAGGACTCTGCTTAATTCTAACAGTCCAGTGGCGTGGGTAAAATTATCACTTCCTGAATCTTACAGATGGAGAAACCAAGAAGCCAAGAAAGAGTAAGTAGTTTGCCCAAAGTCACACAGCTAGAAAGTGTCTGAGATGGGATTTGAACCCAGGACTGGAGTCTAATGCCTGCTGTATTAGATACCCAACCTTCCATTCTCCTCTTAGAGACAGCCAGCCTGTCAGGGGCTCTTCACTTACAGCTTCCCCTCGGCACTTGAGTGGCTAGATGCCAACTCTGTTCCCAGTGCATTAGAATAGCCTGGAAGTCCCCAGGGGCCTTGGGAGGTCTGAGTGGGCCTAGAAATGACACAGATACACGGTTTGGGAGGCTCCCTTCCTCTCCGACATCCAGTGACTTTTGCATTGCTCCACCCTCGGGCTCCAAGTGGGAATGGAACCACCTTGCAAGCCTGCTTTCAGGCCTGTTCCCTGCCCTTCACATTCCTTCCCTGAGCCCCCCAGTGCTTCCTTCTAGTAGCTTCTGTATGTCCCAAAGCCCTGCAAGGCAAAAGCTTCCCCTAGCTGTCTATCTTCTCAGACCCAGATGTCACCTGTCAGCTCAGCCTCCCCGTGAAACAAGAGTCAGCCTCCCAGAGCAGCAATCCTGCTGGGCTTTTCTTGTAAGGGATGTAGCACAACCCTCCACCCCCTTCCCCACTGTTCCTGGCCTTGACTAGACAGCTTGAAGCCAGGGAGACTCACTAATGACAGGGACTGAGGCGTGCTTCTGTTCCCATGGTAACTGCTGTGCTCCACTTAGTCGATCACTTTTTGAAGCTCTTGCTGGTGTGAAAGTTGTTTTGCATAGAAGTGCTTAACTCTTATCCAGGAACTCTACTCTGGGTCTTTAGATCCTTCCAGGTTCCTTATAAAGTTGATTTTCTCTTTCCTCCCTTTGTGGAATTCCTTTCATCTTTAACGCTCAGCTCAAATCCCACCTCTTCTAAGAGACCTTTCCAGACCCCCTCTCCCCTCCCCTCCCCACGTGGAGTCAATCTCTCGCTCCCCACACTCCCTTGGGGAGTGTTTATGGCTCTATTAGATCACAGCCTGCCTGTTTCACAGTTATTTATGTGTCTCCTTCTGAGCCCCTGGTGAGTGATCAGCCCATAGTAGGTGCTAAACAAACATTTGTTTGAATTTATTTGAATTTCCCGTTCAGAGTCTTTTTTTAAATAACTATTATGAACAGTACAGGCCATTACTAATAATCCCTTATGCTTGTAAAATTATTTACAGTTTATATATAGCTTCATGCTTGAGGGCACTGCTTTAAACCCCAGCTCCACCCTTGCTAGCTGTGTGACAGTGTACAAGCCTTGTAACCGCTCATAACCTGCTTCTCATCAGTAATGGATTGTTGTAAATATAAAAATAAACGTGTAAAGAGTTTGCTTAGCTCAGGGCCAGATGCCTAGCGATGCCTCAACAAATGTTAGCTATTATTATGAGTCATGGTCTCATTTGGACCTCACAAAAGCTCTAGGATGTGAAGAAGGGCAGAGCTTTTGTCAGTGTCATCATCATCGATGACATATGAAGAGACGAAGCTCAGGGAGCGAGTGAAAGGTTTGCCGAAGTGTTCAGACTTTAGTCGAATGCTGTGGTGGGTCTGCAGGAGCAGGCTTGGATACTCGAGCATCACATGTCCCCGGACACCGTGATTCGTTCGGGGATGGGCAAGTGACCCAAATC